ATTTGCCGTTGATCAATCCCTTTTTGGGATGCGGCACGCATTCTACTTCCATTTGTACATTCGTAGTGGCGTTTGAATGCGATGTGGCCTATACAATGACTTGCGGGGGCCAGCCGATGTACAAGTCAGTGTTTTTTATCCTCCCAGACAAGTCTGGTACCAATTAACCGACCCCGGAGGGATGGAAGGCTTGGTTGGCCCGGGCGACTCACGACCCAGGATTTGATCCCCGGACCGCTCGCGTGGTAAGCGCGCCACTTGTCACTACACCACTTCCGCCCAATGTAGGTAGTTTCCTAAATTCATAGCCCACAGGAAAAATTGGTCACTTTCAGGGTCTGTGGTTACTGGTGTTGTAGGAATGACAATGCCCAGATACTGTCTGTTTGGTGATGCAGTGAACACGGCAAGTCGAATGGAAAGCAATGGAAAACGTAAGGTCTTATAATCTGTTTTAGAATGCGGTAACCCAAAAAACCTACTTCAGCTGGACGAGTCCACATCTCCACGGACACGATGAAATTTCTGACCGAAGTTGTTGGTGGTGGCTATAAAACGGAGCCAAGAGGAGAAGTCATAGTGAAGGTTTGTTAATTTTTCCCAGACCTGTCTGACAACTTCCGCTTCCGGAGAATACTGGGCGAATAATGCTAGTGGTAATTCCAACCTAATACAGCCACGACCACAGACGATCGACAACTGGAGATTTGTGGAGCCCATGGGGGAGAGAGAGTTGAAAAAGTAGTGCTATAAAGACACGAATTGTTATTGTCGCCAATGCATCCTCCTCTATCGCTCCTGAGGAACCCTCGCGTGAGTGGTCGTCGATCATGCCCCACGACGACAGAAAGAAGACCTAAAAAGCAGTGATCGCACTAGCTGAAGGGCGCAGTTTCGGTGACATCATGGGACGCTATTGGTGGAAGGATGTTGAAGGTGAAGTCTACGATCGACGATAAGGCAGCCCATTAAAATGAAGGTCGAGGGGGTCAGTGATGCCGGGATGAAAAGACTACCATGTGAAACGGCCCAGAACCCGAAAGGTGGGACTCCGTCCTTGTGCGCTTGATTGGTGTTACTTTCATGGGTGCTGCCCTTTTTATCGGTAACACACTCTCCCTCTGCTAAATGGTTAGAGACCGGCGTTCAATCACCGGTGGGCGCACCGATAGTGCCGTGGAAAGTGCTATGCTAGGTCGCCCGGGGCCACCCTTCGCTGCGAATCTGAATCTTAGGGGGTCCACTTGTCTTTTCACTATGTAAGTTTTCCCTTCATCGCCCTTCAACCTTATCGTTTAATCCTCCTTTAGGGGAAGGTGTCGATAAAAGCTCTCACTCACAGCCACAGCGCGCTGAGTTGTTCAGTCCACAAATGACGTTCAATGGTGTCATCAAAACTTTACCCCATCCGACCATCCTGGTCACTGCCTTGATACAGAAAGTACCTTCGGGAATTCACACCGCTCGACCTTGATCAATCCCTTTTAGGGTTACGCCATGTGCTCTCCCATATAAGACTGTAGTGGCATTTGAAATACTACTTTCTGGAGACCGGTCTATTAAGAACGGCGTTTTTATCTTCCTAGACTAGTCTGGTTTTACTCAACGAACTTGTCATGACCTGGGCGCAATCGTAGTTTTAGTCCACGAATTATTATATAGGCCTTGTAAGCGTCGCCATTTGTTAGTTCATCGATTCCACTGTCTTTCCTCTATAACATCACCTAGTAGGCTATCACTCATTATTCCCAGAATTCTGATCCCTGTCTCGTGGAGAGCCAGCAATAACTAGAGCTAGCATTGAACATAATTGAAAAGCGTGAAATTGTAACACATTCGTTTCCAGGGAAAAGGAGCGCTGGAGACTCATTGGTTACTGACGCCCGAGGAGCAGCAGCAGTCCTACATGGATTAGCAGCTGGAGAAAAGCAGTGGGCTTGAATTCAACGAGCTGCAAAACCATGTTATCTTGAAGCGAACAACGAAAGTGTTGCCGTGTCCCTGACCTCTTCGTCCACCTACATTCATTTGTGATGTCGGTGGTCGTTCTATCATAATTTTTCGGACCGTCAGACTATTTAGAATGAACATCCTCTATAAGTGATCTCACCTACTCCAAAGCATTCGTGGGTACATTCTCTACTTAACTGGAGCAAACTGACCTACTCCGTACTTGTCACCCCGAAACTTTTGAAAAAAATGTCAGTGAAGCAATAAAGTCCAAAAATTGCACATGAAAACTCTTGGACATACAAAAGCACGAGCGGGATTTTGTGGAGAAGGTTTCTGCTCCGATTTTTCCGAAATTTTTCGAACAACTCAGTAATAAATCACTGTATAC